CTGCGATGTGGTCATGTGTATGGTGTCAGTCAAACAAACAATGATGTGTTTATTGATCCGCCCCCAAACTGTAATATAAAAAAACTAGGGATGCACCGATATGAAAATTTTGGCCGATACCGATAACCGATTATTCTTTATTTTTGAAAGCCGATGACCGATATGTTGGCCGATAAATCTATATCCAAATTGTTATATACTTTTTGAGAGCCTGATTACAAAAAAGGTCTCATCATTAAAAGCCACATCCCAAACACTTCAACATAAGCAGCCTAGTTTGAACGGTGTACGTTTTAAAAATATTTTTACTCTCCCATTACCAAATTTAGTCATAAAAAAGTCTTACAAATAAATAAAATAATGCATAAATAATGCAAACAAGTCACTGGACATCATTACACGTGTAAAGAATCAAAATGAATGCGCCATAGATCAATAAAACGGAATAGCCTCTGCACGGACAATAATTAAATGATTTTAATTACTAAACCATACTGTTGATGAAAACAATAAGAGAACAATACAAGTGGTTGTTGTTATTAATAATGTATCAATGATTTTGAAAAAGTAACAAATTAATACCACTGTTTTAAATAGCAGCCGTTGAGCTGCGCGTGCTGAAGCTGAAGAGCTGAATGAACATGGTAAACTGAAGCGTTTTGCTGGCAGCTTATTTAACTCAAGGAAATGCATCCTGAGATTAATATTAATACAACATAAACATAATATTACAACTTATATATGTACAAAATGACGCAGTTATTGCATGCTATAGTCAGAATGTGTGATCCTGTTGTGGATGCGCTCTTCCCATAACAACGCGCTGAAACACGGCAACTAAACCCAAAGAATTCCCAACGTTTTATTATAATAATGTTCTCATTAGAATGTTATATACATGACATTCCCAATCATAGTTATTAATGTTGTGCACTGCTGTTTGGGCTGCGTGTGCTGAGCTAAAGATGATCACTGGTAAACTGAAGCGCTCTTTTAACTTAACCAAACGCATTCTATATGAGATAAATCAGATATACATCAAATAAACACAATATTACAATGTACAATTGCACAAAAGGCTGCAAACGAACAGCGCGCATCTGAAGTGTCTCTGAAGGAAATAATGCATTATTTATCGGCTTTAAGATATCGGCCAAATTTTCTTATCTGGCCGATACCGATAACAGAAAAAATGAGCCGATATGGGCCGATACCGATATGGTGGCCGATATATCGTGCATCCCTAAAAAAAACACACTTAAATGAAAATAAAAAACACTTTGGTAAGCAATATATTTGCACACATACACTGATGGGATTTATCAAATGGATCCTCTGCTTTACACAACTATAATATCTATATACACGGTTTATGTTAGTTTACAGTCGGAATAAAAGTCTCATGGTTGAGCAGGTCATGCATATTGATCCTGCTCTTCTGCGAGCTGAGCCACGCAACGTCAAGCAGGTCGATGGAGAGATGGCCTCTCACTCTGGAAGCCAATGTGATGCTAAAAGCTATTGGCATTGGGCATTGCGTAACTGTCTATCATTGTGTCTGTGGCTCAGAGTTTCAGGGGTGCAGCAAGGACTGAAATGAGCACGGACAAAGCAATGCAGCTCAGAGACATTTGTGGAAATTATGGCCAGATATGAAGTAAACACAGGCCAGATATGTTTCTTTGCTGTTCTTTAAAGACAAACAACCAAAATGGGGGTCACGCAATCAAGAAGTGTTGTGTATGTGTGCGCGCGTACAAATGCAGTTTGAACGTGATCTGCGTGTGACAGAGTTGTGGGAAAACTAACACCAGCCCTGAAGCAGCACTGTGCACTGTAATGGAGAAGACAAGGTTTGGAGCGGATGCAGAGCTAGGGTTACTAGATTGGGTACCACAGTCCATCAGATATATGCATTGGAAGACACTGCAAGTCCATCTCTGATCAATGAAGCAACCTGATAAATGTTTTGACCAATAGGGCACATCTATGTGTACACAAATGACACCCTGTAACACACAAACAACAACCTAACTAGTGAAGCCAGTCAGCAAAAACACTTTTAGTATCATTTTCTACCTCTTATAAATATGTATTTTGTACAATTAATATTTCATATTCACAAACCCAGCAATAAGTAAATATGAAACAAAATAGATTCATTTAATATTTTTAAAACTCATAGCTGTTCCCAATACTTAAAAGGGTAGGTCCTCTAAAATCATATTTTTATCATAGCATATACCATATGACTTTATTAATTCCATAAAAGATAATAACAGCCTCGGTCACCATACTTTGTCTTGATTGAAAAGATTCAATGAAACTGAATGGTGACTAAGACTGTCATAACATCTCTTTTAGTGAACCACCAAAGAAAATAAAAGTAATTTAGATTTTATATACTATATTTAAACGTGAGTAAATGATGACAATTTCTATTTGGTTTGGTGAACTGGCCCTTTAAGAAAAACTTTCTGTTGTGCATGTCCATTATCAGCTTAAAAGTGGAATCAACAAACACATACATTAATTATAAACATGAATGTGTTGTATTTAACACCCACCTTTAACTAGAAATTATTAATAACTATATTTCATTTTTACTAGCCCATCTAAATCAACAATTGGTGAAAGATTTAGGCTATTTTATTTTTCTCATTACATCGAGTAAAATGTTTCTCTGCCGGCGAACCACACAAAATATAGAGTAAATATAAAAAGCTAAATTTATAATGATTAAAAAACCTTTAAACGGATTAATTCCGTAACTAATTAAAACAAATAATAGCAATTGCTTCCGCCCTGTCGATGACATTAAAAAGACAAGAAGGCTGTAATCTAGTCTAAAAATTCTATATCTGGTTCGTGTTCCTAAAAAGATGTCCATGCAAACTTCAAAAGTAATTGGACATTTTACAAGACTGTAAGTAGATTGCATTTCTATATCTGATTAGCTCACAAAGTTTGATTGTTCTTTGAAAAGGCCCGCGCTATACACTCTTAAAAATAAAGGTGCTTCAAAAGGTTCTTCAAGCGATGCCATAGAAGAACCATTTTTGGTTCCACAAAGAACCATTCAGTCAAAGGTTCTTTAAAGAACCATCTCTTTTTTACCTTTTTGTAATCTGAAGAACACAAAGAAGCTTTTGTGAAACAGAAAGGTTCTTCAGATGTTAAAGGTTCTTTATGGAACCATTTAGACAAAAAAGTTCTTCTATGGCATCGTGAAGCACCTTTATTTTTAAGAGTGTAGGCTGATGTCAGTGTTGGAGAGTCGGGCTCGGTGAGAGGTGATGTGATTCTTTCTGACACGGTCCACTGGGGCACAGAAAGAGAAGCAGAGAGGTGCTCTGGGGGCGTGACACAGAGATGGAGAACTGAGTTTTTGTGTTTCCCATGCAGGCACGCGCACTAAACTTATTTCTTTCCAACGAAAAGGCGAAAAAGACAGCTGCCTAGACCCTTACAGATGAGACAGCCTACTTAAAAGTCGGCATATAAAAAAATCAGAATGTGTTTTTTTTTTCTTCGTGTAATGTGCTGTATTTGTTGAGATATTTTACTATGAAACGAAAATTACTTAAAAAACGAAAACAGCAGAAGATTGCTTACAATATAAATACATATATTTGAAACAATCAGTTGTCTATCAAAAAATGACTTTAATCCACATTTTAATTAACAGTTCAACATCTTTATTTATTTATTTTTAGTCTAATAATCTAATTTCAATGCCATGATAAAGACCTGGCCGTGAACTGTATATTTTAATATAGATTTTTAGGTAACACTTTACAATAAGGTTCATTAGTTAAACATTAGTTAATATATTAACTAACATGAACTAACCATGAGCAATACATTTGTTACTGTATTTACTAATCTACGCTAATGTTAGTTAATAAAAATACAGATGTTCATGTTAGGTCACAGTGCATTAACTAATGTTAACAAGATTTTAATAATGTATTAGTAAATGTTGAAATTAACATTAACAAAGATTAATAAACGCTGTATAAGTGCAGTTCATTATTAGTTAACTAATGAACCTTATTGTAAAGTGTTACCGATTTTTAAATGTAACTTAGTACACTAAGTACCTAACTTAGGTAGGCTTATCATTAAAAATATTTCATATTATCATCCACACTCTAAAAGAGGAATTAAAACATCTTTATAGCATAATTCTAAAGCAAATATAACAGAGCATTAGTATGTTACACTTTAAAACTGAAGCGTTCTGACTGATAAGCCACGCTCTTTTTTACACTTTTATTATTGAAACATGTTTGCATTTTTAAACAAAAAGCCTACAAACACTTCTGCTTTTGTTAATTCCATATTATCACAGGTGTAACTGCAAAGAGTCGGAGAAGAGCGCGTGGGATGGGCAAAGCTCGCGCTGCTCCACGCGTGTGTTCCTGGGCTCGCGCGGACATTGCTGCTGCACTTCGACACTTTCAGCGCGCAGCGGCGCCTGACTGACGGAAATGGGTCAGTAGAACGCACACTAACTCCACTCTACCCACAACCGTGGTGGTCTGCTTTAAAACACGTTACTTAAAAAAAAAATAACACTGGTAAGTTTTGGTTCAACTGTTTCCTCTGCTAATCTTCTAATCTGTAACAAAAGCCCAAGACTCAAAGTAAGACACTCAGTGTTAAGTCTTCATAGGCACATAAATAAAATCCACTCTTTAGGAAAGTCGGAGTAAAGTTGTCTCTGTCTCCATAAACACGAGTGCGGTTTATTTCTCTTCTAGGGTCTTCTGCTCCCATGAATATGAAACACAGCTGACCAAAAACAGAGTTTGTTTTACACATTTCTGTATCATAGACCGCGTATGAACCACTTGACTTCGGTATGACTTTACGAAACAGACAGTACCAGGGATGATGGACAAAGTGTGGGGACAGGACTGTGGGACGAGAATGAAAAAAAAAACACCCTATACTTGATTATTCAAATGAGCTGTCACAAACAGTTGTATTCCTACCTCGCATAGTGGTGGCGACTCGCTCCCGAACGCTTCAGTCATGAAGTAACAAACACAAACCAGAGTAAAAAAAACAAAATCCTCGGTGTTGAAGTTTGGTCTCGTCAAAGCGGGAGACTACTGTGCAAAACCATTCCAGAGGTGCGTGAAGCGGTGCTCGGACTCTTCAGTTGTGCGGTAAGGCCAGCACGCGGGGTTTCACATGACATCTGCGAGCGCATATACCCACCGGAGGTTTTCACTGCCTCCGCGAGCGCACGGGAGAGCGCGCAGCAGGCTACGCAAGCCCGGATTGGACCGACACTTTCCGCTCCGCCCACTTTCTAGCGTCTTCAACGGGATTAAGCAGAGACGGACACTGTGCGGTCTGCGCGCACGCCAGACATTTTGATCCATTTTCAAAAGACAATATTTCAAAACCTTCTTCTCGTAACTATCATATTATTCACTTTTATGTTTTTTCCCCCTTTAATAGATTGCTTTTACAATTAGTAGTAGAAGTTATTATTATTGGTAGCCTAGTTTGTCTGAAGGTTCCACATTGAGTTGCACTACATGGATGGTCATAACGGAGTAAAATGTTTGGATACTTTTTAAAGTTTAAGTATTGTAGTTTCAAACATACTTTCAAAATCTCTAGAAATTTGACCTATAGAGAGCAAAACACCTTTAAAGGAACAACATCATTTAAAAACACTCCTTCCCACAAACACATTGGATAATATATATAATATATATATAGCTATAATAGAATATATAGCTACTATATTTATCAATGACCCAATGTTTGATTATTGTGCAGTAACTGAGATATCAGGTACCAAATCAGACAATAGCAGTAGTATCAATGTAGTAAAAAAAAACTTTTATTAAGTATAGTTTTCTCTATATGGTGCAAAAAGTAAAAATAAAATAATTGTAAAAATTGAATTGCATAATATGTTTTCATATTTTTTCTTACATTTGGCTAACGAAGCAATCATTCTACTTTTTTTTTTTAATCACCTTCATCTAGTAGCCATCAGATTAAACAGCAAATAGCTAGGAGAGTGTGAAATTGCCCACTGCCCGTGTGTGTATGGGGGGAGGTGGAGACAGAGACTGAGCTACAGACCCATCCAGGGAAAGGCAGAGACTAGCTGCCCAGAGCACATCACCACTGACCTACATTCCAACCCCCCCCCCCCCACCCCACCCCCTTTATTTTCCATTTCCCCTGTATGAACAAATTCATAATTGTGATGTAATGACAAAAAGCAAGCATGACAATAAAGCCAGACCAGTCCGTTGGAGATTGTAAGGCACTGGAGTGACAGCACTGTTGTTGAACAAAAAGCTTTTTCTGGCTATTCAGGAAAGGCCTGAGTGTTGCAAAAAGAAATACATGTAACCTGTGAAGTGGAATAGATAGGTTATAGTGCGTGTAACCTTTGTGAAATCAACATGCAATATTTTGCAATATTTTGATTTGACAAAGTTAATCACAAACAGAATTAAAAGTCATTCTGACTCACGATCAAAATTTGAACCTTATCTGTTTTTTTCAGGGCTGCAGATTTACAGCAGACCTACAGGACAAAAATGAATGATCCAAAGACAGATGCAGCCATATGGTGCCTGAAAACTAGTCAGAGTAAAGGTAAACATATTTGGCAACATGCAAAGGCTTAAGAAAGAGTTTGTTATGCAAAGCATGTGTATTCTCTTCTATTGCTTTGCCTTGGTCTACACTACATACTGCTGTCAAACAGAATAGCTCAAGGATGTCTAAATTGTGATGTTATTTCCCATAAGTACATAGTTTTCCTCACAAATGACTAACTGGACTGTTGGTCAGGCCACCTCACTGTTAGTCATTATTTTTGAGAAAAGACAGGACTGAGGTCTAGAGATAGAAGCATTAAATGAGTTGATAGATCTCCCTGGTTTTAAGGTTAAAGCATATTTGTGCAACTCTTTTGTCCTTGAATCGACCATCAGGAAGTTAACTTAAATATAATTGGATAACTTTCCAATGAAAATAAAAATTAGGGCACTATTTCTCAAAGGGATTCCCCTTAACTCTCAAATGACACATGCCTTTATATTGTACTCTGGAAACAAGCAGGTGTTTTTGAAAAAGAGAACATTTTACTGGGAAATTGATTGAATACCATATAGGCCTACAGAACATGACGCTTTTTTTTCTTATATATACATGCGTAAGGTGCGTTCGTGTTTGAATCTCTTTCGTATCACTGTTCAACATTATATTTTTGTATGTAGATCAGAGTTCACCCGATAATTGTCTCCCCTTGCAAATCTACATGTCAAATGTCAACATGAATCTCAGACAAAATCCTCGCTGTAATGAGTCGGATGAGAGAATGACATTGGCTTTGAGAGAGAGAGAGAGAGAGAGAGAGAGAGAGACAGAGAGACAGAGGGGAAAAATACACTTGAGAAATTTACAGAAAGATACCACAAGTGACAGAGGCAATTTTCTGGGAAAAAATTACTTCATCATAATTTCAATCCCAAAAAGAATTGGAATGAAAGCCCTGAAGGAGCCGAGCCGTGTCACCTTGAAAAATGGCAGTGGAAAAGATCACTAAACTTCTCCACACACACACAAATGCTCTGACACACATATACAGATGTACACAAACACAATCAAACTAAATATTAGATCTATACGGTTTCTTACACAGTTTTGTTCTTGTACTAAACCGCTTTGCCACTTTTACAGGGATGCTGCAATTTCTTCAAACCTTTTTTATTAATACACTATTACATTATAAACCTAGACAGATCACTTATAAAAAGTATGGTTAAAATTTAATATAATTAGATGGCCTAAGTTTTGCACACTAGTAAATGATCAGATCTAGTATATGGAATAATTTTAGCTGGATGTCAAAATGGCCCAAATAAAGCCAAAGGGACTGTATTATAATTTTATTGCGAGACTAATAAAGTTTGAGCCCATCTCATCTGTATCAGCAAGTAATAATCAGATTTCTCATCAAAACTATTAATAAGACCAACTGTGCAAAATATAACTGCCTTCCCATCAACATAGTACAGAAGCCTGCCAATCAGTTGATTTTAATTGGATTTTTTTCTTAATCCATGATTTTTTTTCTCCTTCATTCGCTCTTAACAAAGCTATTAAGATATTAAAACTAATGTTACATTGAGTGTGTAGTTTTTTTTGTATGACACATTAGAATATGCTCATATGCCCTGAGGCAAACTCTCAAAATAATTTCTCCTGCTGATTTAGTTTTCAGAGCCTAATAAATGTTGATGTCAGTTACGTTGAGAGAGACTTTTGTACAGAAACACTGCACAGTTCTTGCTTTTGAAAATGATCAGCGCAAAACGCAACATAAAGACTAGCTACTATCAGAGGTGTAAAGAGTACCTAAAAACCATACTTGAGTAAAAGTACAGATACCTTACAGTGAAAATTACTCCACTACACGTTACAAGTCACCAATTCCAAAACAACTTGAGTAAAAGTCTTAGAGTATCTGATTTTAACAGTACTTCAGTATTTTACTTATACTAAATATATGCTCAAAGATGCACTAGTCACAGAGACATGCCAGTGAAAAACTGTAACGTTGTGTAGAAGCTGCGGAAAACAGGCAGAGGCAAGTATATATGTGCAGGCATTTAATGGAATAACTAGAACAAACAATAAGGCAAAAACCAAAGGGAAAAAAGAACAGAATGACTGGCAAACAGACAACCATTACATTCAACAACTCACAAGGAACTAAAGAAAAACTAGGGCTATATATACACACAGGGGAATAACAAGCTTAACAAGATAAGACACCTGGGGAGACTAATCAAGGGGAACCAATGAACAAACGGACTGTCTTTTGTAGCAGAAATAAACTGCTGCAGAAAAAGCAAATGCAAAATGTAATGTGTAACTGCAACACTCATTTCAAATGTAGTGGAGTAAAGAGTACAGATACTCGTTCAAAAATGTAGTAAAGTAAAGAGTAAAAGTTGCTAATATCTTTGATACTCAGTACAACTACAAAGTACCTGAAAAGATACTCAAGTACAGTAACTAATTACATTTACTCCAGTACTTTACACCTCTGGCTACTATATCATGTTTATTACAGTGATAAATGTCAGAATAACTTCTGGCAGACTATCAGTAGCTGGACAAGACAGTGCTGCATGAATGAGAAAATTGCTCTGAACCGATTATGCGGCTCTCTGTAATACTTGATGCTGATTGGTCAGTCGTGCCACCTAGAGATTAGCCGTCATCCATGGCAATATATTAGACCACTTATTCCACTTATTATATAGTAGCTTTGCTTAGGGTGAGTATAGCCATGCAATATGTGGTATAATCTACTGTCAGCCAGTCATTATTGCAAAATAAACCTCGACAAGGTGATAAGAAGCCCAACGTGGAACGTGATTTAGTTGTGCATTAAAAATCCCAATCCAATTCAAATCCTCATTTGTTGCAGTTCGAATTACCCGAAGCGACTGGATTCTGTGTCAAAGTGTGACCTCTGTGTCCTACATAAGCCAAGTTCAAACAAATCGACACTTCTCAGAACTTCTTAGTCTACCGCAGATATACACCATTAACTTAACATTCCTTATTCATCCACGGACATAACTCGCAGTTAATAATTCACACCTACATACTTGATTTGCGCAATCATTTTTAAGGCACCATTATCACAAATTGGCCTTTCCAATTTATGAATCTAAAGGGACGGATCTAATGGGGGAGACCTTCACCTCTCTACACCCCCAAAGAGGAAGTGTCTGATGAAGAAAGGCTAATGGCTGCAGTACAGCCACCTCAGGGTCTGAAGACTGGAGTCAGAGGGGTTGAGGTAATGGAACATATGCCAGCAGTAGCTGAATTATTCACTCGATCCACTGATGCAATATACACTAACACGCAAAACACACTCACACACACACACACACACACACACACACACACACACACACACACACACACACACACACACACACACACACACACACACACACACACTACTGGCTGTCTGGAGTGAGACTAGGTTTCTCTCTTCTCTGATGAGAAACTTGCTGTCGTGGGCACATTTTCAAAGAGTCTCCCCATGTTTTAACATCCCATTCTTCTCTTTGATGTCTGCCATTTATCTCCCATTTGTTAGTTCCACAGATTGTCACTGTTAAACTCATCACGTTCCCGTCGACTACGTTTGG